GGCCCTGCAAGGACTTCAGATGTGGTCAGTGAGGTATGTGGATGGTGCCAGCCTGCCGGCCCTTGTCCAACCGAATTGCACCAGGATCAGGCAAGGGGCCCAGAGAAACAGCAGAGCCAGCTGCTGCTGCCTTTGCGCCTGTTCTTAACGCCATCCTATTTCTTCCTCAGATGAAGCTGGTTTTACTCTCTGAAGATTGATGGGCAAGGTTTTGTATGACCACCATCCTCGCTTCTCACCAACTGAACTTACAGCTTGAAATTAACAGAGGCCAGACCCATCTGGAAAAATGCATTTGACACAAATATGATCAAATAGGGTATCCCCAGCGGTGGGGACAGATAACCAGACCACTTGGAATCCTAGGTGCTGTGTTCCTGTGTGGACCTGCTATTGCTTTTGGATTTCATTAGAGTAAAGAAGCACAGATTCTGAAGCCAGATTTGAGGTTATGTATTTGTGAACTCAAATCTGGCTTCTATAACTCCAGTACTTGGGAGTTACAGTGACCAAGTCACTTAATGTCTCTGAACTTCAGTTTTCTGATCTGTAAAGTAGAAAGGCTAGGCCAGCACAGTAGCTCACGCCTGTAATCCCAGCACTTTGTGAGGCCAAGGTAGGGGAACACCTGAGTTCAGGAGATCAAGACCGGCCTGGCCAACATGGTGAAACCCTGTCTCTACTAAAAACACAAAAAATTAGCTGGGTGTGGTGTGTGCCTGTAATCCCAGTTATTCAGGAGGCTGAGACAGGAGAATCGTGTGAACCTGGGAGGTGGAGGTTGCAGTGAGCCAAGATCGCACCATTGCACTGCAGACTGAGCAACAGTACGAGAGTGCATCTCAAAAAAGAAAAAAAAACATAGGAAGAGTAGGCTGGGCATAGTGGCTCATGCCTGTAATCCCGGCATTTTGGGAGGCTGAGTTGGGAGGATCATTTGACGTCAGGAGTTCGAGAACAGCCTGGGCAATGTAGTGAAACCCCATCACTACTAAAAATACAAAAATTAGCTGGACGGGATGCCAGATGCCTGTAATCCCAGCTACTCAGGAGGCTGAGGCAGGAGAATCACTTGAACCCAGGAGGTGGAGGTTGTAGTGAGCTGAGATCATGCCACTGCAATCTAGCCTGGGTGACAGAGTGAGGCTCTGTCTCAAAAAAAAAAAAAAGATAGTAGGAAGGGTGATAATACCCCCTTCACCCAATTATTGTGAAGATCACGAGTGCATGTAGTGTTTAGTATGGTGCCTGGCACATAATAGGCACTATAACACTTGGGGCTTTGGTGCTCCCACAGCTATATTTTCAAACCAAAAGATGAAAAACTTTGTGGTAAGGGCTGAAAAAAAATTACCTCCTTTTGTTGGTCCCTCGTGACAGTTGGTGCTTTTGTCCCAGTGACACAGAAATAAAATTGCACAAGAGCCAGCTAGTACAGGGCTCCTGCTGCTGTCCACCACCCTGCAACTGAAAAGCAGGCAGCCTCGGTTTCTGTGTGGCTGCTGCAGGGCCTTGGACTGTGCCCTGTGAGCATCCCGTGCCCAGCATTACCTCTATCCGCTCAGGTAGTACTGATACCTATTCTGGGTCTTGCTGACCCTGTTCTGTCAGGCGTGATTGACAGGAATAGCTTTTGACATTTGTTGCAGTATCCTCTGCTTTGGCTATACTAACAGGTGGCTGGATTCCTTTATTTTTTTATTTAATTTATTTTGTGAGATCGTCTCGCTCTGTAGCCCAGACTAGAGTGCAGTGGTATGATCTCGGCTCACTTCAATCTCCACCACCCAGGGACAAGCAATTCTTCCTGCCTCAGCCTCCCAAGTAGTTGGAATTACAGGCGCTCACCACACTTTCAGCTAATTTTCCTATTTTTGGTAGAGACGGGGTTTTGCCATGTTGGCCATGCTGCTCTCAAACTTCTGACTTCAAGTGATCCGCCCGCCTCAGCCTCCCAAAGTGTTGGGATTATGGGCATGAGCCACTGCACCTGGCCTCCTTTATTTTTATGGGAAATTTTTGGAAAAGAGACTTGGTCCAAACAGGCAGTACTTGCCACTTCTGCAGTAATTTGTCTACCCTGCTCTCAAATGGTTACTCAGTTGCATTTATTTACTAAAATCAGAATACCAGCAGCACATCTGCAAAATTAGAAGTCTTGAGTGATGGCAGATCAGTGTTCTCTGGCATCCAGATTGTCATAGCTTGTGTGCGCGCGTGTGTGTGTAAGATTAGAGAGAGAGAGAGAGCGCTTCACTCTTGTCGCCCAGGTTGCTGTGCAATGGCATGATGTCAGCTCACTGCAACCTCTACCTCCTGGGTTCAAGCGATTCTCCTGCCTCAGCCTCCTGAGTAGCTGGGATTACAGGCACTCGCCACCATGCCAGATTAATTTTTTGTATTTTTAGTAGAGACAGGGTTTCGCCATATTGGCCAGGCTGGTTTTGAACTCCTGACAGGTGATCCACCCGCCTCGGCCTCCCAAAGTGCTGGGATTACAGGCGTGAGCCACTGTACCCAGCCAATTGTCATAGCTTTGAGTTGGCTGCCAAGTGTTGAGATAGCATTGAAGGTTGCAGAAGCTGTGTTCTTGACTCTCTCTTGAGGAGAGAGTCACGGTCTCAGATAGCACACAGTGTTCTGAATCAATGGGTGTTCTGGAGATTTTTTTTTCTTTTCTTTTTTTAAAGAAATTACTGGCCAGGCTTGCTGGCTCACACGTGTAATCCCAGCACTTTGGGAGGCTGAGGTGGGTGGATCACCTGAGGTCAAGACTTTGAGACCAGGAGTTTTTATATTTTTAGTGAAACCCCATCTCTACTAAAAATTAAAAAAAAATTAGCTCGGCGTTGTGGTACGTGCCTGTAGTCCCAGCTACTTGGGAGACTGAGGCAGGAGAATGGCTTGAACCCAGTAGGCGGAGGTTGCAGTGGGCCTAGATCACGCCATTGTACTCTAGCCTGAGTGACAAGAATGAGACTCTGTCTCAAAAAAAAAAATGCCGGGCGCAGTGGCTCATGCCTGTAATCCCAGCACTTTGGGAGGCCAAGGCGGGCGAATCATGAGGTCAAGAGATCATTGAGACCATCCTGGCCAACATGGTGAAACCCTTTCTCTAATAAAAATACAAAAAAATTAGCCAGGCATGGTGGTGCATGCCTGTAGTCCCAGCTACTCAGGAAGCTGAGGCAGGAGAATTGCTTTAAACCAGAAAATGGACTTTAGCTCCTATTTGTCTTTGTTTGGGCTAAATGTTCTAGCCTTGTTGGGGTATTCGTACATAGTAGCTGACTCACAGCCATCATCTGAACCTTTCCTCTGGTTCAAAACCAAAATTAAACATCCATTTCTGGCGGCTGAGATAGTTTCCTAGTAAGAGAGGTTTTGTTTGTAATGACCTGCCTGTCTGATGAATCTAAGTATTTGGCTGGCCTTTCTGGCTAAAGCAGCCTTTGACTGGTGCCGCCTACAACACATACCACCTACTGCTTATCATCTCATCTCTCTTCTAGGTTCCTTCCCTTCTCTTTTTCCTCTTTCTTATTTCCTTTTCCTTTCCTTTTCTTTCTCTTTTTTTTTTTGAGACAGGGAGACAGGGTTTCACTCCAAGGCTAGAGTGCAGTGATGAGATCTCAGCTCATGCAGCCTTGATCTCCTGGGCTCAAGTGACCTGCCTTGGCCTCCTGAGTACCTTGGACTACAGGCACCACTGTGCCTGGCTAAATTTTTTTTGTGTGTGTGTGTGTGATGGAGTCTTGCTCTGTTGCCGGGTTGGAGTGTGATGGTGTGATCTTGGCTCACTGCAACCTCCACCTCTTGGGTTCAAGCAATTCCCCTGCCTTAGCCTCCCGAGTAGCTGGGATTACAGGCATGTGCCACCACACACGGCTAATTTTTTTGTATTTAAGTAAAAACTGGGCTTCACCATGTTGGCCAGGATGGTTTCAATCTCCAGACCTCGTGATGCCACCTGCCACGGGCTCCCAGAGTACTGGGATTACAGGCATGAGCCACTGCCCCTGGTCCTTTTTTTTTTTTTTTTTTTTTGTTGTGATAAGCGCTGTGTTTTGTTTATTGCCCAGGAAAGTGCCAAACTCGGGGGCACAAGTGATTCTGAGACTTTGGCCTCCCAAAGTGCTAAAATACAAAAAGTGGGTCACCACACTTGCCCGTTCTTGTAGTCTTTTTTATTTTTTTTTAAGACGGAGTTTCGCTCTTGTTACCCAGGCTGGAGTGCAATGGCACGATGTTGGCTCACCGCAACCACCTGGGTTCAAGCAATTCTCCTGCTTCAGCCTCCTGAGTAGCTGTGACTACAGGTGCGTGCCACCATGCCCAGCTAATTTTTGTATTTTAGTAGAGACGGGGTTTCACCATGTTGACCAGGATGGTCTTGATCTGTTGACCTCATGATCCACCACACCCGGCCTCTTCCGGGTCTTAATAGAGCCTTTTTTCTCTACTGGAAGCTTCCACTGCTTTCTGCCCCCATCAAACTCATACATACTTCATTGAATGGTTGCTTCTTCGGGGAAGCCTTCCTGATACTACCCTACAGATGGTGTCAGACCACCTACTATGCTATCACAGCACTTTCCACAGTAAGGTAAATTGCTTTTACAATTATTGGGTTACCTCTCTGACTATGTTTGTTGAATAAATTAAAAATGTGGCCGGATGCAGTGGCTCACGCCTGTAATCCCAGCACTTTGGGATGCTGAGGTGAGCGGATCACGAGGTCAGGAGTTCGAGACCATCCTGACAAACATGGTGAAACCCCATCTCTACTAGAAGTATAAAAATTAGTTGACCACGGTGGCATGTGCCTATATTCCCAGCTACTTGGGAGGCTGAGGCAGGAGAATTGCTTGAACCTGGAAGGCAAAGGTTGTAGTGAGCCAAGATCGTGCCATTGCACTCCAGCCTGGGCAACAGAGTGAGACTCCATCTCAAAAAAGAAAAAAGAGTGGCTTTATGACTTGCCGCCTTCTCTTTCCTAGTGCTCCTGAAGTTCCGCACAGATAAAGGAAGAGATCCAAGTTCTGATACATATGGAGAAGATTCCGAGTTGTTGCTCCAGATACGAAACGATGTGCTTGACTCACTGGGTGTTAGTCCTGACCTGCTTCCTGAGGACTTCGTCAGGTTGGTCTCAGTGTTTATCACGGTTTAACCTGGACAGATAAAGTTTGTTTTAAGGGTTTGCCTTAATTTGAGGGTTTTTTTTGTTTTTGTTTTTTTTTTTGTT